GAAGAAGAAGAAGAAGAAGAAGAAGAAGAAGAAGAAGAAGAAGAAGAAGAAGAAGAAGAAGAAGAAGAAGAAGAAGAAGTTGTTCTTAAAGCTGATGCTATGCAATGGAACCACCACTGGGTGGCAGCGTTGTTCCCCATTTTGGACTTCCCTCTGCGTGAGATCCCACAAAATTGGTCATAGGAACCTGCTCAGGCTTCCAGCTGCATCAGGCGCTCCAAAGACAGATGGCAAAGAAGGATGTGCCTTTATAGCTCCTATTATGCTATAAGGTCCCCAACATTTTAGAGAGCCCCCGAGCCCATCTGGAAATCAGACAGCCTGTTGTGGGCCTTCTCACCAAGCAAACAAGCAAACAAAGATGGCTGCCAAGAGGACCCAGGATGCCCGATTCACAAGTTCACTGCCGTTTTCAGGGGTGAAATGGTCATTTAGAACAAAGTTTCTGGCCATTTTAAGACGAGTGGGCTTCAATGCCCAGGATTCCTGAGGCAGGAACAGCCAGTACCCCGGGAAGACAAGCCCAGGATCCCGAAAGATCTTGACAGACTTGAACAATGGGCCCTCTAGCCAACAAAATGAAATTGAATGTGGACAAAAGCAAAGTTTTACCCATGGACAGAGAAAAAAAACCCCCAAAGTTACAAATACAGATTAAGTGAAACCTGGCTCCAAAACAGTAACTGTGAGAGGGAGCTTGGAGTCCTAGTGGATGACCACTTAAATGTGAGCCAGCCGTGTATGGCAGTGCCCAAAAAAGCAAATACAATGCTAGGTGGTACAAACAGGGGCCTAGCTTCAAAATCAGGTGAAGTGTTAGTACTGCTTTATATAAAGACTCAGTAAGGCCTCACCCGCAATCCTTGCATCCAGTTTTGGTCACCACATTACAAAAAAAATCGTTGAGACTTTGGAAAAAGTTGCAAGGAAGAGCAACTAAGATGTTGAAAAGCCTGGAGATTAAAACATATGAAGAAGGACTGGGTTTGGAGTTGGGTTTGGACAGTTGGGTTTGGACTAAATGACCTCCAAGGTCCCTTCCAGCTCTATTCTGATTGAAACACTATTCCAAAGTTGTCCGTTTTACTTCTCCGTGTATTTTTATGTTTTTTGTGCACATGCTGGGCCTTTTGCTCCATTAAGATAAAGGATTACTGGTGGAAAAATAAATAGAGTACAGCATGGTTCCTTAACTTTTATATGATGACTCCACTGTTGATTGCATTTTGATGGCCCTTTATCACCTTATATTAAAATTCAGAACTTGTAACAGAAGAAAACATGATAAATAGATTTGCGATAAACAAAAAAGAACAGCAGTTACCGGCTGAGCCACCTCATTCTCACTGAAACCGAGTTTAAGTAATTGAGAAAAAAAAACCATTACTATCGAGTTCCACTTGGTCTACAACGCCGTGAATTCTTGGTTGATGAGGAGGTTGGGGAAGAACTGGGGCTAGTTCGGGAGCCTGGGGAAGGCTCCGATGGACGCTCAATGTCGGACGCAGAAATAGAGCCAGAGCCGTTCCCAGCATTTCCCAGCCAGTGCAGAGGCAGTCAGGGATGAGAGTGAGGAGGAGGAGCAGCTGGAGCCTGTTCCAGTTGCGTGCATGCGCAGAGCTGTCAGGAGAGGTGAACAACAGAGGACAATGAGCCAGCTCGGGAAGCAAAACTGACTGGTCCCTCCCTGGCTGGGGAATAAATAGGAGCAAAGAGGAATGGTTTGGTTGTCGCAGACAACTGTTTGCGTTGTTGGAAAGTTTATTCCTTGTCTGTTTTGTGCGACAAAGACTGCCATGCCAGAACTGAAGTTTCTCTTATTTTTCTGACTTAATCTGCAGCCTCCAGGCTGGGCTGGAAACTCCCCTTACATTTATCTTAAGGAGTGGATAAGGACTATTGCTTCGCTTAGCTCCTTGCAGGACTCTTGTTTGGACCGTCTGTCAGTGAAGGCCGTTAATTCCCAAGGTGTAAATAAAAAAGGGGGTGGTGGTTCTTTGCGTGGAGCCCCTTTCCTGCTTCCGCGAAGGCCGGGTCGGAACAATTTTTAACTCCAAGGCGAGAGTTCTCCTCGCCTCTGAACCGCGTCAACCAACCCTGGTTCTTCCATCGACGGGATGCATCCCGCTGCATCTCCAACTCCGAGTAAGCAGATATTGCCGCCCCAAGCAATGAAGGATTATTAAATCATCCCCTGACTGCCTTTCCAGCTGGTGAACAGGAAGACAAACAGAAATAAATCTCATTGGATCACCCAAAAAGAAAAGCTGCCCCAGCGGGGGAAGAAGAAAAAAAAATCAAACAAGGAAGTAAAATATATTTTGCACCCTCCTTTTGGTAAGATTCATTGAGTGGAGGCTCCTGGCTGCTTACTAATATTATTAATAAATATTAATCGATTAAACACAGGGCAGAGCAACCTTCAGGTTTGATGCCTTCAGACCAGAATCAAAAGGCCGACACACAGCCTGCACCTACAGGTAAATTGACTTAGGAGCATTTGTCACACTTAACGACCATCACAGCATTCCCCACGGTGACGGGATGAAAATTCTGAGGCTTGGACTCTGGCTCGTATTTATGACGATCGCAGGGTCACATGATCTTCTTTTGTGACCCTCTAAACAAGCCGAGTTCAATGGGGGCAGCCAGATTCACTTTAACGACCACCTTACTAACAAATGCAGTGATTCGCTTAACAACTGGGTCAAGAAAGGTGGGGCAAACTTCACTTAACCGGCGTCTCGCTTAGCGACATAAATTTTGGTCCCAGCATCGTATAATCCCCTTTCGCGACCTTCTCAGTTGAAGGCATGAAAGCCGGTTGGGTGTCTTGGGGCCAATCACCAGGAGACGGGGTTCTAGTCCCACCTTACATATGAAAGCCAGCTGGGTGACTTTGAGCCAATCACCCGGAGACGGTGAGTTCTAGTCCCGCCTTAGATTTGAAAGCCAGCTGGGTGACTTTGAGCCAATCACCAGGAGACAGTGAGTTCTAGTCCCGCCTTAGATATGAAAACCAGCTGGATGACTTTGAGCCAACCACCCGGAGACGGTGAGTTCTAGTCCCGCCTTAGATATGAAAGCCAGCTGGGTGACTTTGGGCCAGTCCCTCTTTCTCCCTCTGCCCAACCCACCTCACAGGGTTGTTGTTGTGGAGGGAAAAGAGGAAGAGGAAGCTGTGCTGGGGATGTTCACAGCCTTGAGTTATTTGTTAAAAAAGAAAGAAAAGAAAAGAACAAAAGGTGGGGAAACTCATAGATAGATAAATAAAAACGGCAAGGCTCATTCCCTTCCTCCCAGGGCAGAGCAAGCTCCTCCATCATCCCAGCCCCTCCCAGAACCCCCTTCCCCACCGAGGCAACCAGATGGCCAAGGCCTAATGAAGGCAGGCTGGGTGAGGGGGTGCTCAG